GTAGAAAACGAAGTGTTTGAGAGAGGCGGGGCATATAGGACCTACAATAATGTACAGTATTTGAAAAATAATGTGTTTTTTGAACATTAAAGCATGTCAACATATTCTGTTACACCAAATACACAAAATAATGATCTTTAAAAAAGCATCATATGACCCCTTTAATACATTGTTCAGTCAAAAGTCTATTTTTTAGATTAAAGTTTGAAACACCAATTAATAACAAATATTAAATACAGTCTAGTCCACAGTGTTAGTAAACATCCTGTAATCTTTCTTTACCAAATGAAGCCCCCTGCACCCAAGAAACTGAAGACCCCTGCAACCAAGACATGGAAACAGACGTCACTTGGAAAATAATGCTGCGTTCAAGTCCTCCTGGGACGTTCGTACTTACGAGTTGACAAGTCGTAATTACGACGTCAGGTGCGTTCAAGTCAGTTTAGTCCGCACAAGATGGCGGTGTACCTTCTTTTAATAAATTACAAGAAAATACAACAGGGTCTGCATTTTTTTACTTGGATTTCAGCTGCGTAACAAGAACATGACCAATTTAAGTTTATATATATATATATATATATATATATATATAGGTTTTCCTTTTGTAGGTGAACATTTTTTAACTTTTTTATGCAGTTTTTTCATGCTAAAATCACAATAGCTTATACATCATCATCCATAGTTATTTAGCCAAGTTTAGCCAAGTAGATTCTATACATTTTAGAGTTTTTTCTAAACTACAGGTGTTGAACTTGTATTATATGTACACCTACTTTTTAAAGAATTTTGTACATCCACTTTTTAATACATTTACAATTAAACTTAAATCAATGAAAATCATCCACTGACTTGCATCAGTGATGTCATAATTCTTGTGAATTGTCATATACTTACTTTTAGAGCTGCATTTGTAATGTTGAATGCATTTATACTGTTCATTGTCTTTCACACTGCATTGAAATAATGTGCTTCTCTTTTCACTGGATTCCCTTCTCATTGATAAACTGATAGCTTTGTGAATTGGTTTACACAGTAAATTTTTTAATTTTGTAATTGGCATTAAATTTCTTACCTGGCAAATAATTTAATTTGATTATTCTGGATACTGATATGTCAAAAGATTGCAAGGTGTCTGATGTTACTGTACTTCAGGGCCTGTATTCACAAAACATCTTAAGGCTAAAAGTAGCTCATAACCCACCGATTTAGGAGAAAATCTTAAAAATAATGGGCGTGTCAGTCCTAAATTTTTTAACTAAAAGTATTTCACAAAGCATTTTAGTGCTGAAACTAGCTCCTAAATCTGTGAAACGTTAGGAGTAGTGAAGAGGACTCCGACCAAACCACAAACTATTCCTAAAATGGCTGTTGCCGGCAATCTGCCTCGGAATGTAAACATTTTAGAAATATTTGATGATAATGAGCTTTCATAAAGGTATCACCTTCGGTTTTGAAGGTTATCCCAACTCCAAATTTTCCTTTGATTATGTCCTTGTTTTCATTAACCAGTTGGGCAAGAAGTAACAGCTGTGCTTGTGTCCAGTTTGTTTGTTTGGTTTTTTTACGTTTGCATGTAGTACTATCAGCCATGATTATTCTACTGTTAATTAAAAGGCTGTTTATATGCATATCTAATTGTTTTGAGAAGCACACAGGTAAGAGGCTGACAATTAGCTGAACACATACTTGTTTAATTGGTGACACTTAGCCTGAATTTTTAAATCTTTATTTGAATGTGGCAACATTTTATTATCATAATTATTTTTAAACCTTTATCTTTACTCTAAAATATTTTTTATATCTGAAATATATCTGACAGAGACTATCAGCCAATCACTGTGGGCATAGTTAGTAAGCATGCTGACATCATCCATAGCAAAGAGGTCAACCCCGCCCCCTTACTCTTAGCTTAAGACTTCTCTCTATTCATTAGTAAAAGTTTGTCTCAACAGATTTGTGAATAGGTTTTAAGAGAAAACTCTTTGCTAAAAACTTTTACTGCTATTTAGGAGAACTCTTAGTGGTAAGATAAAATGTTTTGTGAATACGGGCCCTGATCTATGCCCAAGGTATGAGCATGAGCCCATGATTTGAATGGAGCAAAAAAACACTTCAGAGAGGACTTTTCCATTACTTCGGAACCGCATACTAGCATAGCCCACACACTTACTATAAAATATCTTTCTATGGCAGGAATGATAAGGGATGTATTTGTGTGGATTTGAATTCTGCATCTGTCTTTCTTCTCACTTGAATGGATGTAGATAAGTAGAACTAGCTTCAGCTACTTATAAGCAAACAGTAGTTCTGCTAATTGGTAAGGGAGGTAAACTGGGAGGTTCAACTGAGATATGATAAAACTTAGTTCTAAGACCGGGGCTGGTTGTAACATTTATGACATTTCTGTGTGTATCTTGGAGTTCTTTTAAGCCAGTGCATTCAAATTATGATTCAAACTGGTTACAAGTGTCTGCTATTAAATGGTGTAGATGTTATCTTTGCAGCACAAACAGAAAATGCATGGCTTAGGTTTAAACACGAGGAGTGAAATGTTACAATTCACCCCATAGTCCGGATTAGTTGTAACACACCCTGGGGTGAGATGTAACATTATGATATCCACCAGTGTGAGATGTAACATTATGCAACAATATGATTAGGATAAAAAAGTGGGTTTTGAAATGGATTTTTTATTCAACACTGACTTTTCAATATAACTGGTGTGTGTTTGCGTGTGTATTACAATAGCATCATGATAATAAAACTGAATAACGTGCATGTGTGTGTGTGTTTACTCATGTTTGTTAATGTCAGACTCAGACCTAGTCATTTGCCATAAGATTGAACTTGAAAATTTCAAAACATTTAGAGACGCCCCACAGTTTGTTTTTCTCTTCCAAGTTCCAAGACCTATATATAGGCATACTTAAATTTAAAAAAAGCTATAACATATTTCATTGATGTTACAACTAACCCGAGACTGAACTAGCTCACCTTACAGCTAACAGCCAACATTAGCACTAACAACTTGCATGGAAAATATCTACACAAGATACATAATTACAATAAACATAATTTAAAGTCCCCATGAAATCAAAATTCAAGTTCCCCTTCAGGAACTCGAGCTGCGTCGAGATCGCTTTGGGAACGCCTCCAGATCACAGCCTTCACAACGGGGACTTCAGTTTTTCCCCGATCTCCATGCTGAGGTGTCAAGATCGTGGCAGAAACCGTACTCATCCCATATTTACAGCCCCACAGTCTCAAATTATTCAAAAGAACGTCGTGGGGCTGAATGATAAGGGATATGGGGCGATGCCAGTGGTGGAGCAGACGCTTGCGCCTGCTCAGGGGTGAGGCTGCTGAGCGGGAGCAGCCTAAGCCGTCAAGCTCCTCATATCGCCAGTCTCAAGAACAGAGAGTTGCAACCCGCACCCCTCCACAGAAAGATCGGGGGTCGGGGCGAAGGACAAAACTGAGAATGTGTGAAGTGAATTATAGGTGATTTGTAACTTGTTCCTTATTTGGGAAGCTGGAAGTGTTACAACTGACCTGTGTTACAACCATCCCCGGTCTCCCCCTCTCTATAAAATGTGTAAGTGTTCAATAATTCAATGTTGTATTTATAATTAGTTATTTATATTTCATTATATTATTCATTTATATTATTTAACAAACAAATCTAAATTAACATGTATCAAATATATTTTTGCTGATATTTGTGACACAATTTTGCATCGTGATTACGTAATAGGCGTCATTTAGCAACTTTTATCAACAAATCGACCTTCCTTTAGCAACTTCCCCTGAAAATCAAGTTGGCAAAACTGACCACACCCATCCTGGAAAATATATTCTACACTCACGGAAACCCAGCACCGAGGAAATATATGTTCCTTTGGACTTCGATGTTGGATGTTCTATAGGCTGGACGCGATGTCAGATCACGGTAAGGGTAGAACATTTGTTGTAGCCTATATTGAGTTTTAAACGCTCAAGTCTCCTCCTTGACTTTGATGTTCAAACTGAGCACGCGCACTTTCTGCAGGACTCGAGCATCGCGTACGTTATATCGGAAATTCTTGTTAGCATAAGCGAGTGCATTGAGAACAAAACGAGAAAAAACGGTGTTATTAACAATAGGTTTTGATTTATTATTTAATAAAGTTACGTCTTACTCTGTCCCACTTTTTTGTTCAGTTCATGTCCTGCGAATGGACTGAACATTTTTTCTTTGGATTGCAACTCATTATCACAAGGGTATTGAGATTATGCCCACTGTCTTTTTTTTTTTTTTTTATACTTGTTCATTTATGATACACCTTGTTAGTAGCTTGTAACTGTAATTGTTGATCAGTTAGTACAATGTAAGAAAAATATCTAGAAAAATGTAAAAGGTACTAGTAATTTTCCAGGACATTATCCATTAGGCCTATCCATTATTCGTTGCAACCCTGTAACCCCAAAACACAAAATATAATGTATAATCTAATAAAATGCATGTAAAAAAAAAAAAAACCTGTGAAAAATCAATACGGAAAATTCCTTCATAAGTAGATTGTGCCCTATTTTTACTGACTTTTCTGTAGCATACTAACTACTAATACACTTAAAACTGTAATTGGGTGCGTTTTATTTACTATCTAATAAAAAAACTTTAACTAATCGTTAAAAAACGTGTAAGTGTTCAATAATTCAATGTTGTATTTATAATTAGTTATTTATATTTCATTATATTATTCATTTATATTATTTAACAAACAAATCTAAATTAACATGTATCAAATATATTTTTGCTGATATTTGTGACACAATTTTGCATCGTGATTACGTAATAGGCGTCATTTAGCAACTTTTAGCAACAAATCGACCTTCCTTTAGCAACTTCCCCTGAAAATCAAGTTGGCAAAACTGACCACACCCATCCTGGAAAATATATTCTACACTCACGGAAACCCAGCACCGAGGAAATATATGTTCCTTTGGACTTCGATGTTGGATGTTCTATAGGCTGGACGCGATGTCAGATCACGGTAAGGGTAGAACATTTGCTGTAGCCTATATTGAGTTTTAAACGCTCAAGTCTCCTCCTTGACTTTGATGTTCAAACTGAGCACGCGCACTTTCTGCAGGACTCGAGCATCGCGTACGTTATATCGGAAATTCTTGTTAGCATAAGCGAGTGCATTGAGAACAAAACGAGAAAAAACGGTGTTATTAACAATAGGTTTTGATTTATTATTTAATAAAGTTACGTCTTACTCTGTCCCACTTTTTTGTTCAGTTCATGTCCTGCGAATGGACTGAACATTTTTTCTTTGGATTGCAACTCATTATCACAAGGGTATTGAGATTATGCCCACTGTCTTTTTTTTAAAAGCAGGCTTACATCTGTTTGTGTGTGTGTGTGTGTGTGTGTGTGTGTAGGAGAGAGAGAACTATTAGATATGTTTGAAAATCTTAACAGCAGCATCAAATGTAACTGATTTTAAAAGCAAGTATGTCTATATTGTACGGACAATATGTCTGTACCATATTTTTGATTTTCATGGGAATTTATTATTTACAAAAATGTCAAATTTAGCTCTGTCCTACATTTTGCACACAACCCTGTTACCACGTTATTATCCTTCTACAAATAAAGCTACATTTATGGCAAAAACTCATTTATAAGTAACTATAAACCACTGTTTGGTCCTGGACTGAGTCTGAGTGCGTAATTTAGACTATAGGCTATTTGTAACTTTGTCTGCTGTGTTTTTATTATTCTACATTTATTAATAGTTCAAAACCAAAATGAAGATTCCGTCCATTTATCAACCCTAGCAAACTACAAAAAAGCCATTAAAGTACCATTTTTGCCTAACATATTCTTTTGTGTTCCTCAAGATAATAAAACAGCCTTTAAATGACATGAGTGAGTATAAATGATCAAAGTTTTTTTTTTTTTTTTTTTTTCACACACTTTTTTAATTCAGCAAGATTCTACGTCTTGAGACTGTGAAAATGTACTGGGATTGACCCTCGTGGGTGTAGTGCTCTCTCGCTGCACAGGTGGGCAGATGGATCCTGTGTCTGTTCCAGCTCTGCTGATCAGGGATCAGGTGGCCTTTCTCAAAACGGGCTCATCCAGAGGGTTACAATGGTGATGCCAGTGATGGATGAGCTGCTGGCACAACACGAGCTCAATGATCAGACATATACACGGATTAGGAGAGCACCAACCAACCGTGAGCAAATGACAGAGCTTTATATCGCACTGAATGAAGGAGGGAATAAAGTGAAATCTGCCTTTTACTTTGCTCTGAGGAAGCATGAACCACACCTGCTCTGTTACCTGGGTAAATATCTGACGGAAAACAATATATTATTGAAAAATTGAAATACAGTCAATGCATTCTGGGAAACTGTTTTTCCACCCTGGTCTGCAAAAGTTCATTTATTAAACATGATGAAATATATAAATTAAATACATTTCAGTAGGTTATCTATCTATCTATCTATCTATCTATCTGTTCATTTGTTACCTTTCTCGGTATATGAATTCAGCATTAATTTCTTTAATTACAATTGATTTTATTTCTATTTTCATACAATACAATTCAAATTGAATTTCTGAACCCTATTTGCTACAGTACCTCAATTTTAAAGGCATTCAAAAACGCTCTGAATAGATCTTTTTTACATTTCTCAGCAGCGGACGTCGTCATAGTTGGGTTAACTTAAAGAGTTTATGTTTTGCATTCCCATTTGCTCAAATATGACTTTCAATAAAAGGAAAAAAATTAAATGACATGAGTGAGTATAAATGATCAAAGTTTTTTTATTTATTTTTTTTGCACAACCTATTCTTTTAATCACAAATCTATGTTGTAAATGTTAGAAAAAGGCTTTAATCATTTGGAGATGGGAAATAATCTCTTCATGTCTTCTTCTCCAGGGGCCCGATATGTAGACACGCACAGGGCTGAGCTCATCCAGAGCGTCCAGAGAGTGATGGTGGTGACACGCAATCTGCTGTCAGAGGGCAGGATCAATGTGGAGACATATTCACAGATCAGGAGAGCTGGGACCAAACAGGACAGAATGAGAAAGCTTTATGAAGCACTGGATGAAGGAGGAGCTGAAATTAAATCTGCGTTTTACGCTGCACTGAGGAAGTGTGAACCAGACCTTACTTTCCTGGGTAAAGACACCACAGAAAATAATCTATCCAAAAGTTTACCAAGAATATAAGTAAAGAAACGTGCCATATCATCCCTTAAAACACTTTATATTGGTTATGCTTAACACTCTGAAGTAAATGTATCTCTCTCCTTCTCTCCTTAATAGGTGTTTTGTTTGAACCAGTACATAGTTTAATTTATCTTACAATTGATCCATTCCTGAAACGTAAGTGTAAATGCTTCATCACTGATCTACTTTGTATGTGAAAATGCTTGAAACTTTCAATAATTTTGAGAAAACAAGGTAATAATATGTCCCTGATGCTGTCATCTCCAGAAGCCCAGTTTGTAGATAGGAACAGGTCTGAGCTCATCCAGAGGGTTACAATGGTGATGCCAGTGATGGATGAGCTGCTGGCACAACACGAGCTCAATGATCAGACATATACACGGATTAGGAGAGCACCAACCAACCGTGAGCAAATGACAGAGCTTTATATCGCACTGAATGAAGGAGGGAATAAAGTGAAATCTGCCTTTTACTTTGCTCTGAGGAAGCATGAACCACACCTGCTCTGTTACCTGGGTAAATATCTGACGGAAAACAATATATTATTGAAAAATTGAAATACAGTCAATGCATTCTGGGAAACTGTTTTTCCACCCTGGTCTGCAAAAGTTCATTTATTAAACATGATGAAATATATAAATTAAATACATTTCAGTAGGTTATCTATCTATCTATCTATCTATCTATCTGTTCATTTGTTACCTTTCTCGGTATATGAATTCAGCATTAATTTCTTTAATTACAATTGATTTTATTTCTATTTTCATACAATACAATTCAAATTGAATTTCTGAACCCTATTTGCTACAGTACCTCAATTTTAAAGGCATTCAAAAACGCTCTGAATAGATCTTTTTTACATTTCTCAGCAGCGGACGTCGTCATAGTTGGGTTAACTTAAAGAGTTTATGTTTTGCATTCCCATTTGCTCAAATATGACTTTCAATAAAAGGAAAAAAATTGAGAGAGACTGATAATAACGGCAGTCAGAAGAGAGAACGATGTCAAATGTACCATCCCTCCCATAGACGCTGCATTAGAAACACCCGCGCATTAGCGTAAACAAGTTTTTTTTTGTAATTTGATGCTGAGGTAATATAATACAAAGAATAATGTTATAAATGTACATACATTTTTCAAAAAAATACAAATATTAAAACATTTCAAGGATTTACGATGCTGATGACCATTAAACGCATCATCACAATCTTGTGAAAAGGGTCCATGGCACACATTAAGTATTAAGTTGCATTCAATGGGTGCAGGAGTACTTCCAGAAGTTCTTTCAGGATGAGCAGCTCTTCAGGAAAACATATGAGAGTCTGAAGACAAATGAAAGCCTCCTGACTGCCTGCTCTGTGCCTTTGCTGTGTTGGATGGTCTGTTTTTGTCTGAAGAAACACTTTACAGACGGTGATCATGTGATGAGAGAACTAAAGACAACCACCTCCATTTATGTGCAGTTTGTGTCCACTCTACTGGAGCATCATGACCAGAGTCAGTCTGTCCTCAGGAGTCTGGGTCAGCTGGCAGAGGAAGGGATAATGGATGAAGAAGTCCTCTTTGACAAGAAGACCGTGTTCAAGACAGGTTTAGATGCTGAAAGTAGCCTGTTCCTGCATGAACCTGATATTCAAGATTTATTAAGGAAAAGAGCACTCAAGTTTATGCACCTCAGCTTTCAGGAGTTCTTCATGGCTCTTTATTATATGTTTCTGAATGAAGAAGAGTCCCAGAGGAACATCAGAGACATCCTAGCTGCTGAAAGAGTGAAAGGTAGACTAACAAATTCCATACCTTCAGTGCTTCTGTTTCTCTGTGGTCTCTCTAATGAAGACTCAAGCAACTCACTCTTTGAAAAGCACAACTGGACTGTTCCTTACATCATAAGAAAAGAAATGGAGAGCACAATCCTTACACTTCAGGATGAAGATAAACTATTTGCTCTCCAGTGTCTGTATGAGCTCCAGGATGAGGAGTTTGTGAGGAGAGCTTTAGGAGATTGGGTATCCCTGGATCTGTCTAACATTTCTCTGAGGAGCACAGACTGCTGGGTGCTGCTGTACTGTCTTCAGTGCTGTCCACACATCAGATACCTGAACCTCATGTACTGTGATTTAACAGCTGAGAAACTCAAGATTCTTCAGCCAGCACTCTGTATGTGTGAGACTCTGAGGTCAGTGTGTTTGCAGAGCAGTTTGTGTGATGTACAGTAAATACTTACCTGTGCATAAGTATGATCATAAGTGTTTATATATTGCTGGATTGAGGGGTCATAAGATGAACAACCAAAATGTCCTAGATATTTTGAGATAAAATAGTTAACTGTACTATGAAAACAGCCTCATTAAAGAAAAAAAAGACCATATTATTGAAGGATCAGGCATTTAAAACTTATAATACCCGTATTGGCCCGAATATAAGACGACCCCCCTTTTTCCAGATGTACCTTTTGGAAAAAGGCTTTTTAAAAACCAAATCTAGTTTTTTCTCAGTAAAACACATTTTGTCTTAAATTATTTTCATATTGCATATTCTTCCTATTTTAATTTTTGTTTTGAAAGTATGGTAAAAACTGGTCAAATGTACCAACAATCACATTTAAAAAATATACACTTTTTGATATACGCTAGCTGCGCTAGCTAGCGCTAGCTGAAGGCAGCAAAACGAAGGGGAAACTGGAGGCGGCCCATTCAAACCAGCGCAGGTTCGGCTACATAAGGAGCGCGTTTTTTCAGATGTATTTCCAAGAAAAAAACATCGTCTTATATTCGGGTCAATACAGTATACTATATTTGGAAATTTGTATTTTCATAGAATGTTGTTTACACAGAAAATTTAAAAGTCATGCCAGTAAAAAGGGCCCGTTTAACTCCACAAGTGTGTCTGAGTGAGGGTGAGAATTCCACTACATAAGCTATAATATAAAATTTAGATCTGAATGATATTTTTTTATTATAGGTTGTCAGTGGACCATCTGCCTGAATTTGGAGATTTGAGCAAGACTCTCTGTGAATTCAAATCATTGAAGGAACTGAAGTACTGTAACTTTTTCATCTCTAAACAGTCATAGTTAATGCTATTTTAAAGTATTCTATAAATTGTGATTTTTATTTAAAAAAAAATTTTTTTTTATACCAATATTTAGTGTTTTTGTTCTGACTTGTAGAGTTCAGGAGGATGAATACAGGGGTGAGAGTCCCAGGTGGTCACTTGACCTGTCTGTTGCACAGGAAGATTACCTGTAATTTAACTTCTTTCTTCATTTTACATTTCATTTTTACAATTAAACTGTACTTAAACTTATAAAAATAGCATAATATGTTTCAGAACACAACCAAAATCATTCATATTGAGTGTACAATGCTGTTATCAAATGTTTCTCTTTATTTCTGTCTGTTTCAGGTTGTCTTTGAGCTCCTCAGAGAAGAATCCATCATTTCCAACAGTCTTAAACATCAGTCTTACGTGTCCACAATCAGAGATATCCAGCACTGACTGGACACTCTTCTTACAGAAACTTAGCAAGGCAGGACAATTTGCTGAAGAGTAATGAAATTATTAATTTAATTTGGCTATTCAATTAAATTGGCTATTTGTCTCATCAGTAGCTTTACTTTAATTCATACATGTAACAATTAATTTTTGCAGCTCTTCAGCTCTTGATGAGTTTGTCAGTTTGCTGCTGTCTTCATTTTACTTTGGCGGTCTGAAAAAGTTGAATCTGAAGGTGGTCAGCTTTAATGAGAGCTGGGCTTCTGGGATCATTTCCCTTGTCCAGACCTGCACCAGTCTACAGCAGCTCAGGTAGGAATAGGCATACACTGATTTCTATTGATTTCTTTTGTATCATCAAGACATTACAAAAAAGAATCAGGATTTTTTTTCCCACACTGTTTTCCCTAAATGAACTCAAGGAAGAATATTTTTATTGGAAACAGCCTTCAAATGTTCACATATACTCTGTTATTCTCTTTCTACTCTTACTATTTACAGATCAATACTGATATTTGACTATGAGATTTATGTCTTTCATCTTTTATTCTGTTTTGCCAGTATTGAGGAATACAGCGACAATCCTAGAAGTCTCTTCTCAAGGTTCATTGTATTAGTTTACAATGAAGACATCAGGTATTATACTTCATGTTGCCCTGCACACATGGAATTTCATGTTTATTTTTATGCTGTATTTTAATGAGCCAATAAAATTCAGTATTTACAGTAAAAACATACTCAAGCATTGCACATGCAGTATACTCAGTGTTTGTAATACATTCCAAATGTCCTTTAAAAGAGTACATCGCCCAGATGTTGGCAAATACGTGTATTTGCATTATCATATATGTTTAACTGTTGTTGTTGTTGTTTTTTAGGTTGGATATAAGGCATAGACGGAACACTGAATCTCTCTCAAAAATCTCTCTTACTTTTCCACGCTCAGCGTTAAGCAGCTCTGACTGGAAAATCCTCTTCCAGAGATTTCATGAAGTGTCTAGATACCAACAAAAGTAATCTAGAATTAACATTAAAGCCATGATAACACCTTTCAGCATGCAGTCAAAACTACACCAAAATCAGAATTTATACGTTGACAATAGCCAGTTCCTTTACATATTGTTAGTGCATGATTAATTTATATCATAAATGAACATGATGAATACTGGTCACAAATGCAGCTGGTCATGATGAAGGGCATGAGGGGTGACCACACTGATGTAAATGACTAGACATTAGGGGTGTAGCGATCCATTGATATGGATTGATACATCGATACGATATAGGCATCTTTATTTTGGCACGGTCCACATTTTCACACAATGTCCGTCTATACATTACTGCCAACGCATGCATTCTCCTTCAAACTCACCTGTCAGGGCTCGATAATGAGGCGAGCATAACGCTCGGGACAGTTGATGGAAGTGTCGAGTGCTGTGTGAGAAGTTTTCTGTGCGTACACATCCGAAGCGTGCACACAGGGACAGCTGGGTCTCAGTGCGCGAATACTTAATTGAGTTCTCTTTTGCTTATTTTTGTGCTTGAATGAACAAATACAGACACAATTACAGCAAAATACGTGTCTTGGCAAATATCCTGTAAACATGATTATATCTTAACGTAAACAATTGAGAAAGAAAACGCATGTGTATCAGAAAACTGGATCTGCATTTTATCTTAAAGGGTTAGTTCACCCAAAAATGAAAATTCTGTCATTAACTACTCACCCTCATGTCGTTCCAAACCCGTAAGACCTTCGTTCATCTTCGGAACACAAATTAAGATATTTTTGATGGAATCTGAAAGCTCTGACCCTCCATAGACAGCAATGATATTACCATGATTAACGCACAGAAACTTCTCCCAGAGTTACCGTCTTCCACCATTTTGGAGAGTACCCCAGAACGTAATCAATGTAATCAGTGTTGTTTACGTTCAGTAGACAGTGCGCGCATGCTGAACGTAAACAACTCTCATTACGTTGATTACGTTCTGGGGTACTCTACAAAATGGCAGAAGACAGTAACATGGGGAGAAAAACTGCTGAATAAATTGTTATTATTGTTTTCTTTGCGCACAAAAAGTATTCTCGTAGCTTCGTA